CAGCTTGCCTTCCTTGACATACTCGGCGATGTAACCGACGGTATCTTGGATTGGTGTGTTGGGATCCACCCTAGCACACTCAAACAGATCAAGGCTCTTCTTGCCATCCAGTACCCTCAGGCACTCATCAATGCTGCGTCTAACATTTTCCCGGCTGCCATCTGGCGTCAATTGGCCTTTCTTGAGACCACCCTTGATGGACAAAACAACTTTCTCCGCGTCCTCGGGGTATTTTGTGAAATACTCATTGAGAAGGTGTAGGGAGTTACGTTCTGGTGTACCGTAAAGCTCTCCGCCGTTCCAATTGTTCGCCCCAAGGGAAAGCGCGGTGCGCATAGCTTCAAGGCTCTGTTCTTTCGATGGTGGGTCTGGGCGCCATGTGAGACCTGAATTGTTAGCTTTCTCTTAGTCTTTGGAAAATAGATAGATCGTAAAACATACCCATGAGCCCATAGCCAACTGGCCCTACCGTCTTTCCTACAAGTTGAGGCATATCGAAGTTTGTAGATGATGTCGTGAGAGGGTCTTGAACAGAAAATGAGGCGGGGTAATGATATCACCGTAATTGAACCGTTGCTCGCTAGTTTCTTTATAAAGGCCTATTGATGTGCTTCTCTATTCCCGACCGATACCCAGCCCTATTTATACTCTCATTGAATCTTTTCTCGGGCCCGAAGATGCTTGCTTAGGTACCGCCACCCATGACGCTTATTGGACATACAAGGCCCCGGACGGGGTTTTCAGAGTGCTTAACTCCGCGAAGCCAATCACCGCGGAAAGTAGCGCGACAACACGGGCAGTGGCCTTAGGCGTATGTCCGGTTTGCTGTATGTGGATTATTGTATCGGGTGTAAAATATCTAGAATGTGTGATGTCATGACATTTGTGGCGGAGTGTCGGGATTACTAAGCGGCATGTTGTTTGCACAGGATATACGACTACCGCTAACTGCTTTGAAAATCCAAATGAATGATACTCTATGGATGCGGAATGGAGTAAGTTGTGAGTAAAGTGAACATTCGTTAGCGCAATGATTTCACCCACGAAATTCCGTTCTATCTCTACGGTTCTACGTCAGGCTAGAAATGAAAACACCCAGTCCTCTTCGGATTTACCCTACTCCCTCCACTTCATCCTAACACCTATCTCCATACTGGCACAAAAGGCCAATTGCTTAAATACCCTTCTTTCCTTCAAAGCCCTTCCTCTCAATCGCCTCTATGTCCCTCAGCACATCCCTAACCGGCCAGACGAACCCCTCCTGTGCGTGCCCTATCTTCCCTTCTTCAATCGTGACCAGATACTCCGTAAGTGCCATACCCACATATGCCGCAATCGCTGTAAAAATATGCCACCAGCCGTGCAACTCGAACAAGAAGCCCCATGGAAGTCCAATCCAATGCTTAAACTGTGTAACATACCCGCAAGCATGAAAGTCAATGTTCCAAAGAAAGTACCCAAACAGCCCCGTAGAAATACCAAATGTCGCCATGCTCCCCAGCTTCTTGCGTGCCTCCTCGTTAGTAATCTGCTTCTTGATGAGCGCACGCGTGTGCCTCGAGACCAGGAAAATCATGGCTGCAAAAGCAATTTCGTGCATAATAATCTCGTCGGCCCACACGTGGTAAATGGAGATGGGGATCAGGCTGCCCAGGATGTACAACGTATACTTTTGGCGCTGGGCGCGCGTGGCATCGAAACATAGCAACTGGTGTAGTACAGCACCTACAGCGAGGAACATCGACAAATCGTCACCCATTTGCGAGTGGTACTTTAGGGTGGCGTGGAACCAGGCGGAGAGGACGCCCACGCCAATGAGTCCCCAGTAAGGGAAAGCGAGCGTCGAGATGAGGCCGCCTTCGGGCTTGGGAGATACGCGGCGTAGACCATGGATTCCGTAGATTACTATATTTGCAGAATGTGAGCTTTCCCTTTTCGTCGTGGTGGACTGCAAGCGGTTGAGGTGCACAGACCATAGCTGATATTTGTGAGAGTGTTGATGAATTCGCCAATGTACGGGGTGATAATGTAGTCCTTGTCATCATGAATTATCATTCCCGACTAACCATTACGGGGAACACATGACATACCTCTTCACAGAAACTATATTAAGTTAGCCAAGCCCAAGTTGCTATGCAGGTACTATAACAAGACTCACTTGTGATTTGACGTAGTTGTACCCCAAGCTCCTACTGCTGGCTCTAACGGGTAGTCCCATCGCAATTGCATGTTGGATGTTTCTTAGTTTAGGCGTGGATGGCAGAAAGTGAGTCTTTGATGATGTCTGGCTGTGAGGGTTTGCAGTGGTTTTACAACGTGGAGCTCATGGACGCAAGCTATGACCAGCCCAATAGCGGGATACCACGAAGCACATGGGAACAGGCTAGAAGGCACAACGGCACATATACTCGCTTTCTAGCCTGAACAAACAAGAAGATTTTGAATTCAAAGTATGATTAGCATGCATCATTGATAAGTTTCAGGCGTTTATGGTGCTATCTCAAAGTCAATCTCCCATGAAGCAAGATAAGGTAAGTATACAGTGATAATCAGCCTAGCCTAACAAAAGAAAAAAGGCAGCGAAACTAGATGGAAAAACAACGCACCGTCTGTTATGGAAAAGAGCAAAAAAAGGGGTCTTACCGCGACTCGAACGCGGGGCCTCTCGCAAGCAATGCTCGGGAAATCCCTAAGCGAGAATCATACCACTAGACTAAGGGATTGTTAGAACTGAAGGAGAAGATGAAGTATGATGTGAATGCTTACCCATAAGACCGTTGTTTTGATGGAAAGTTGAGGAAAATTCTTAATTATATACCACAAAAAATATGCTATACGACAGAGCTTGTGAAGAGGAAGCACTTGAACACCCCCTGTGGGACCTTATATCCAACTTGGACAGTGGGGCTGGCACTTGGCAAAGTTTGGTAAGCGAGGCTTGTTAGCCGAAGTCACGATTCTTTCGTAGGCTAGACAGTGAGGCTGTCCGGTTCGGAGAATTAGGCCACTCGCTTGTGAACTACGCAAAATTCATTAGAATAGGTTAATATGAAGCTCTTCTATATAAGTATTAGGATTTTCTAATAGCGCATAGCGTGTGTATAGAAAGCGAAGTTCTAAAGGTCGAAGTACCCCTTATTTATCCCAGCACGGTAGGCCCAACACTCAGAGACGGACGTTAGTTAGGTTCGGCACTTGCATTTTGTGAGCTAGACCGAGATACAGTTAAGGAATCACTTAGGGAGCGTTCATCCCGTTACAAGCAACGCACTTTTAATCTGTAGCTACTCGTTTATAGCTTCCTATAACTGATTTGCGAAAACTAACTATTCAAGCCTCAACGCTAGTAGCTGTGTACCGTTCCTACCCAAGACCACTACTAAATTCGGTCTTATTTGCGAGTTTGGGTTTTTATGGAGATTAGTGATGGCAATTGCATTTGGGAACTCCGCTCTTGTTTGGATCACAAGTGCCTCCAGTAAAAAAATCATTATGACATTGTCTATTGCATTCATCGGTAGTGCAATCAACGTTTACCTACCACAATTGTTAGCCATATAAAGCGGTGAACAAGGAATCAACTTACTGGAGTAGCATTGACGGATGACACAAACAAGGCTAGCATAGAGGCATAAATGATTGACTTTAGAGTGAATTGCATTGTGATACCAATAGTGGTAGGGACGTTATCACTTTGTAGTCTAATACAATACTAACAAGCAAGACAAGATTGATTTGACATTTTTTGCTGTTTCGTACGTTGGGTGGGTGTAATTGGGAGTACTGTTGCAGTTTGAGGGTCTTTAAGTAGGCACCAGCAGGAAGTGGAACAGGGATTTATATGTACAATCAACCAAACTCTGCAGGAACATCATCACGTTCTGTTCAAAGTTGAGATTTTGCTATTTTGGTTTGCGACACGGGTGAGGTGGCCGGGCTGCAGTATTTGAAATCCTTGTAAAAGCCAAACTTGAAGTGATATCGTCATCTAGTCTCTAGGGTTGGTTGGCTAAGAGTCAAGAGGTCAAAACAGAGATGACAGACGAAGGTTTAGAACAGGGTATTGATAGGGTTAGGGAGCAGGGTTAACACGGGACAGAGTGGAGAAGAGTATCTTATAGAGTTTATAGGTGGGCTGAGAGGCGGCCTGCCGTTATTTTGAGATACTTTAATTGATCAGCTGATCGCCGCAAGAAAGCCAGTAGTAAGAAATAAAAAGAAAAGAAATAGAGTTCATATATAAGCAGTAAGCTTACGGTCATACTGGAGGTACGGTTAAAGTTATAAAGCAACGTGCCGATGGGTTTGTTCAAAGCAATGAGACGGGATGATGTAGAGCTGGGTATCCGAAAGATCCATAAAATTCCTTGGTATTATAATGCTGAAGGTAATAAGTAGAAAGTCAGTAGAGAAGACACATATGGATTAACTGTTACGGGAAAAGTTGTCATATAACGGGAATTTTGTGTAGTATAAGTCGCTTTCGTAGCCGCGAGTAGGAAAAGATGCGTCATTATATTACAACTCCATTTTAAGCTGCCTTTTGATTCGCTAGTTAGGGTGATCGCGCTTGTCTTCAGACTTGCTATGACTTTTCCTTACGTCCTAGGTAAGCTACTCGAGTCGCTTAGCCATGAGCTTACACGATAGAAGCATTAACAAGTAAGCTTACCTATTAAAAGAGCAAGGATTCCATGCATTATACCACCAATATCTATACCGTACCCATGCCCGTGACGCCCAGATTTGTGGAATGCCCCGCTTAACAGCACAATAGTAGTGACACTATAACTTTGATGCGTTATAACTCCACCAATATAGATCTGATTTAAGCTGCAATTAAAGATATTAATTTTTGCGAATCAGGAGATTCTTTTTCATATACAAAATTAGCTGCAAAATAGGATATTAATCGCTCAACGTTAAGCCGAGGATGCCAAGGGTTACAGGCCTCGCGGGACACTGAGATAGCTAATCAGCTCACACCCACCCAACACTAGGAGCTGGAACTTATACGGTATATCACTAAGCTTAAAAAGCAAGGTCTCCCTCCCAGGGAGATAATTAGAATTTTCTTATCGGCAGTAGCTGATCATCAGCTTAGTGAGAGCTGGGTTACTCGCTTTATTAACCGACATAAACTCCATCTTATCTCGAAGTAGACCACCGCCATAGATCGTACGCGTCACGTAGCGGAATCTGGGTTAAATTGTAAGCTCCAATTCGAGCGAATACACTAACAGATTACTAAATAGTATCTTAAAGCTCAAGATGTATACAGTATAGATGAGATGGGCTTCTTAATTAGGGTTATTAGAAGAAGTAAGAGAATATTTAGTAAGCGCTAATAGAACAAGAAGTAGATTAGAGTATTAACTTAAGATAGATTATATGAATTCTCGACGCTCCTAGATGGCGTGTGCGCTAATAGGAGCTTATTGCTACTAGGCCTTATCTACGCGTTAGCTTAAGAAGCTCTTAGATTAAACTAGGTAGAGGAGATTGAGGTTGGAAAGTACAAAATCTTTATCACATTATCTCCGTTAGGCTGGTTAAATCATAAAGTAGGGCTAGCTTGGCTTAAGTAGGTGTTCAGTCGCTATACAAAGCAACGATCAGGTCGATGGCGGCTGCTTATTCTTGATGACTACGGATCTTATGGATCTCAAGTAAGCAGCATATGTCTTCTTAATTTTTTGCAGTATCGGCTGATTTGTAGTCTTGAAGCAAAGGATTTTGTGAACGTCTGTTGGTTGTAGCATACATAGGAACAGGCTAAGATCAGCTTCGATAATTAGGCAATACAGCATGAGTGCTTCTGTCAATACCAAAATGCACCCATAACAGTGCCGAAGTTCACAGTCTGGATTGCACATATTCTGAAGAAAATGAATAAGCTTATGAAATGGCCTAACACAACATAGTCTCATGCGTCACCCAACACGAAGGACCAGGAGCATTTACTTTGTTTGGCAAAGCCAACGTGCATGAAAAATTGCTCTACGATATGCCGCGATAATAATGTCCCCAGATGCCAAGAAACTACGCCTTGACACACTCGATGCATGCCGAGTTTTCTGTGGTCTGCTATGACGATATTGCGCAGGCGGGCCTGAGCTTTGAAAGACCACATGTGCATGCAACATTGCCCTTGAAACATCTTACCAGCCCCAATACACCGCTGTCTTATCGGAATTTGGTAATTATTAACCGGCGCGCTTTTCATTGCCCACAACAAGGTATATGCGATTCAGCGAGGGTGAATATCAGGCGGTAGGGGCAGAGATTGCCAAGCAAATGAATGATCACGATTCCACTTTTGGGGTTGTGTGCATCGAGCACCCACGAGCATCTGCAACGCACACCTCCACCCAATCACTCGATAAATGACGGCTACAATAACGCATACGGTAAGACACCCACTCTTCGTAGTCACATGTTGCGTTGCCCCGAGGAAAGCAACCTGAGGTTGCAACGTCCGATCGAATCATGTCAATTTCAAGCAAAAAGACAGGCAGCAGAAATAAAGACGGCGCCACTTACGCACCCACATGCACGACGCGGTTGAGGCGATCTCCGCAAATGCTAGGCGTCACCCCGTTCTCCACCTCCAGCCAACCCCGAGTCCCCCAAGGTAGTTTTCCCGCCAATCAACGTCAATCGGAGGGGGACTTGCCTTGTTTCTTCGGTTACTCTCCGATGCGCAAGCTAAACGGTCACGCCTGGTCGGCACGTTCCTGCTGTGTTTACGTAGGAAGTATGGCATTTTAACCAATTTAACCAGCTCACAAGTGGTTCCAACTGGTTGGATCGGTGGAGTATGGCATTGTGGCAGGAATGCATTGCATGGCTTTAGCGACCATGTCCAGCATACCGGCTTGGAGTACCGACTACGTTGGTTCTCTTTATAATTGAGCTCCCCTCCCTGCGCGAATGTGTAGTGTTAAGGTCAAAACGACTTCGTTAATTGAAGCTCTTGGGAGCTTCCACCCAGCTGCCAAGATGTTCTCAAAAGTCCCAAAAATTTACAATGTCTACTTTTTGGCAATCATTGCCACAATGGGTGGTATGCTGTTCGGTTTCGATATCTCTTCGATGAGTGCTATCATTCCAACTGATCAATACATGTACGTCAATTCCTAAAAAAGATAATTCTTTCGGCATGGTCTAACATCCCACAGTGACTACTTCGACAATCCATCTGGAGTCGTCCAGGGCGCCATTGGTGCTGCCCTTGCTGCAGGCTCTATTGTCGGCTCCATCATGGCAGGTCCAATTTCGGATAAATTCGGTCGTCGCGATGCTCTCTTGTTTGCTTGCCTTTGGTGGCTTGCTGGCACTGCCTTGCAAGTCGCTGTAACCGGACGAGGAATGTTAATAGCTGGCCGAGTCTTGAATGGAGTAACAGTTGGAATCACTTCTTCGCAAGTGCCCGTGTATCTTGCCGAAATCTCCAAGCACTCACAGCGCGGTGCAATCATCATTATCCAGCAACTCGCGATTGAGTGGGGAATTCTTATCATGTGAGTTAGCGACATGAACATATAAAAAATATCGCTAAACTCACTGTTTTTTGCAGGTACTTCATCGGCTACGGGTGTACGTTTATTCCCGGAGAAACAGCATCGTTCCGCACCGCTTGGGGCATCCAGTTTGTACCCTGCGTCATGTTTATGATCGGTCTTCCTTTTCTACCGGAATCTCCTCGATGGCTTGCCAAAGTCGATCGCACAGAGGAAGCGATCCAGGTCCTGGCAGCTATCCAAGCCAACGGCAATATCGAAGACCCATATGTTGTCGCCGAGTACGAGGAAATCATGACTGTTCTCATTGCCGAGCGTCAAGCTCCACCGGGATGGAAGAAATTCGTCTACAACGGCATGTGGAAGCGGACTCTTGCTGGCTTTTCCGTGCAAGCGTGGCAGCAGTTGTCTGGAGCAAACGTGCGTTCAACTACCCCAACTTAACCATTCACTTCAGAGACTAACCAGAGCAATAGGTCATGACCTACTACGTCGTTTATATCTTCGCAATGGCTGGTCTCGAAGGCAACATTAAGCTTATTTCGTCGGGTGTGCAATATGCGCTCTTCATCATCTTCTCCTCGATCATGTTCTTCTTCGTCGACAAATTCGGCCGCCGCACGCTCCTCGTCTGGGGCGCCGTCACAATGGGCATCTGCCATTTTGTCGTCGGCGGCGTCCTCGGCGCAAACTACGAGTATATTCCTGAGGGAGTTGGAGGCGATCGCAACGTCGTCATGAAAGTCACTGGCTCCCCCGCCAACACCGTCATTGCGTTCTCGTATCTTCTAATTATTATTTACGCTCTTACTCTGGCACCCATCTGCTGGGTGTACGCTGCGGAGGTGTGGTCGCTTGAGACGCGCGCGTGGGGTATGGGTATTGCTGCGACTGGTAAGCTAAAATGCGGATAATTCCAGAAAATCAAACAAAAAAAGACTAATGATATTGTAGGTAACTGGCTCTTCAACTTTGCAATCGGCCTCTTCATTCCCCCCGCATTCCTAAACATAAAATGGGGTCTCTTCATCGTCTTCGGCGTACTGTGTCTTCTCGCCGCAACCCAATTTTTCTTCACATACCCAGAGGTACGTCCATGCTCTCCTCATTACCAAACAAATTTAGCTAACCTTTCTTACTAGACTTGCGGTAAAACTCTCGAAGAAATCGAAGTCCTCTTCAGCAAAGACGGTCCCCACGCGTGGCAAACCAAAAAGGGAAGCGACCATATCGGCCAGAACACAGAGAATGTGGCAGCAGCCCAGGCCAAGCAAGAGGCGCAGGCGAGAATTGAGATGTTGGCGAAAAAAGAGAAGGGGGAGACGGCGAGGACGGAAACGGTTTAAGGTGGTGTTTGCGTAGCATCTACGTATGTGAGAAAATGAATATGAAAAGAAAAAGAAGGGTGTAATAATTGCAAATGATGATATCCCCGAATCCAAACTTGTATTCTTGCCATGTACGAATTCAGCGTAACCTCTACCATCGCAGAACAACAAGCAAGTGATGACACCAAAGTAAGGCGATGAAAAACAAGTGTTAAGAAAAAGAGTAAAACTACTAATTGCATCTAGTTCTACCCCACAAATTAATAAAAGTCTACCAAAAAATGCCCCCCCCCCCCCAATATCAAGAAGTGTAGAAAAACAAAGAGTTTAAAAAAGGGACGAAAAAACCACAGAGTTGCTAGTCTTTCTTGATCATCTAACTAGCCAAATCCATCGTTTTCACACCCTGCTCAAGCGCAACCTCATCCGCAAGTGGCGCGTCTTCAGCCGCAGACTCACCGTTCGACAGCACAACACCTTCTTCCTCTGGGTGCTCTACAGAGCCGGGTCCCTCGTTGATATGCTTGTCTGTTAAACTTCCGTTTAGATGAAGGTGCTGTGGAATGGCGGGCTCGGCGCTTTTGACGTGCTCCGCAGGTCCGGCATGGCCATTACCCATTGCGACTGCGGCAGGTACTCCGTTGCTCACAGCTGCATGCTTGCCAGACCCCGGCTTCACCGTTTTATCCAGACCAATCCCAAGCTCCCTTACAGCACGCTTCATGCTGTCCAGCCTTGCGCGCTCAGCAACGCACATTTTCCTCGCGAGCTCCTTGAGTGCCCTCCGTCCCGTCTCGACCCTATTTTCCTGCCAACTAGCCAGTTCCTGAGCCACGACTTGCTGTGTGTATCGGAGCTCTCTGCCGAGATCCTCAAGCTCGACTTTGCTCTTGTCCATTTTTACCTGGGCATCGCGCTGGACTCTGCTGCGCGCGTCGTCGAGGAGACCCAGGGGCCAACGGTCGGAGCGCCGCACGGAGAGGTTGTGTCTGTCGATTGCTTTTTGGGCGTTGGACATGGAATTTATGATTGTAGAGGGACGGGAGAGTGCGGTTAGAATGGCGGCGATCGTGCTGGAGATGGCGTGCATGGAGTAGTAGAAGCCGGCCATGGGACTTGCTTCGCTTTGCCTCAGGGTGCTGGTGTAGCGCTCCAGGGCCCTGAGGTGTGCAGGAGGCAAAAATATGAGGGAGTGCATGGCTGTGTTGAAGATCTTCGACGCGTCGTTGAGGTCAGATGCTGCTGAGCGGACCTTGTTAGCGCGGCGGAGAACCGATCGTGATGCGTGGTGAAGGGCGCGAATGTTCTCAC